CCCGTGCACATCTACGCCAATGCGCGTATCCGCGCCCTTCCTTGCGTTCGATTATTGCCCGTCCCGGGATCATCTTCTCGTATGCTCTTGCGCATGTTACCACTTGCACATTCGCCTGCTCACGGCCATCCCATGTGCGCGCTGTCCACCCAACATCCACCCCTCGCGCACCGCTTATCTCTTCCATAATGTAAACACCAAGGCCTTAGCCTCCAAACGTCGTGCGCGTCGCTCCCTCGCGCACGCCTTGCACCAGTCGAACGCGTTACCCGATCCTTCAAGCCTCGATCTCTTGAGCTTCTTGCTCGACCTCCTATGCCATTGTGCATGTCGGCACCCTCGTATACGGGCTCGTGCACGTCTCCTAGGCCATGCAAGCCCTGTTCTGGCCCTTTGCTTGGTCTTCTCGGATAGTATCGGCCTTCGGACCTTCTCATCTTCTGGGATCAAAACCCACTTCCGCATCACTGACTGCCGGCACGCTGCTGCCGCTACGTGCGGGCAGCGCGGCCACGACCGGCCCTTGCCGGCCGTCCGGTGATTTCTCTCGAGAAACTCAACACCAAATAACATGAACTGACTTGAAGTGATCAAATTTACTGAAAATACTCAAAATCAAGGATTTTGCATAACATGCTCAAAATGGCCGTGGCGAGCGCACCGTGCGCCGCCTACGGCGTTAAGCCGTTTCTCGACCGAACATAAATTTCTCTCGGCAACTAACACGTAACTGATCAAGAAATAATATTTACTGAAGAATTAAACACGAAATACTCGAAGGACTACTGAATAACATAAAACCGCTACGCATGAACAGCCCGTGGTACGCGCTACGTGCGCGACCACACCCTTTGGCCAATTACTCGACAAATCATGAAAATTCCTAGACTAACCTGACTTGATTGCACATAATATAGCATATACTGACTGAACATGATAAAATTGCTCGAGAGATTTGAATTAAAACATGAACACGCTCGAGAGTTCCTGGATAAAAACGAACATAACTTGGTCATGTCTTAACATGAAGTATCCGGGAGCAAACACGGCTAACTTATGAATTTGAGAGCATGATTTGGACATAACTTATCTAACATGATCTTTATTAACATCAAGAGAAGGTAAAGATGATGTTACCCCTTCCAACGCTCGATGATTTGCGTGAAATCTCTCGGGACCGTGCAAAATTTGAACTACTTGCGTGCACGTACGACTATTACTTCTCCGTGCATGCTCTAAAGCTTCTCCTTATAACTTACATAAGAAGCTCCTAATTTCTCTCTAACTCTCATGACTTATGCTTAGTGAATAAATTAAAATGTTGGTGCAAATTTTCCCATCTCATAACATAAATAATGGGAGAACCGAATGAAGGCAAAGAAAATATGTTTTGACCAATGATCATGTCCCGCTTGTCATGCTTGGAGGTTTAGGTGTACAAACTATGGCCTTAGTCATCCCAAATATAAATTAGTCACCACTTTAACACTAAACTCTTGCCACCTCAAGCTTGGAAAAATGATGAAATTTCACATGTCCTTACAAAAAAAGGCTCACGGTATTTTAAGTTGTAAAATGGTGAAATTCACATGAATTTCCTCCAATAATGCTTGGAGAAATGCCTACGGCATTTTAGTGTTTGTGTAACGCCCCGTTCGTTTATGAATAATTTGGATTATTATTATTATTATTATTAT